CCTCTTTTTTGATATAATATATTTCATAAAGTTTTAGGTTTCATGATTGTTTGATATTTTATGATATTTAATTGTTTTTCTTTTGGTGATATTGTGTGTTATATAATTTATTTTGTTGGGTTAGTTATTCATATTGGATAACATTAGGTATGATGTTTACTGCTCTGTAGGATTGATTTTTTTTTTTTGACTAATTATGCAACCCTTTGTAGATAAATATGGATCAGGAGTTGTATTCATATGATTGAAAAATGATAGACAAAAAAATGGAATTCTTTGAGTGGTTAATTGAGTGTTTTCTTGATACCATGTCATGTCGCCGCACGAATAAATGAATGTTTTGTAATATATATTTAGGATTCATCGATATGCATGTAGAATGTGCGAGCGAAAACGAGTCATCAAATGCTATCTACCTACATAAAAATGGTAAAACTTCTTAAAATAAAATTAAAATTTTACACTTGATTGGACAGATTTTAAACTTCATAGAAATGATTTTCTCGTTAATGTTTGACAGAAATGCAATAATTTCTAAAAGGAAAAGGTTTTGTATGTGCAAGCTCTGGTACCCCACATCATTCTGATGAAGTCATCTCCAATCACTCCAGCCAACTAAAAAGCATGACTCGAAATCCTAAGTGGCCAAAAGATCATACTGTCGTACTAGGGGAGCTGCTGATGGAGCAATATGTAAATGAGAATTTCTATAATGGGAATTTGCAGAAGGAACAATGGTTAAGCTTAGTGGATACGTTGAACGGCATTTAGGATCTAACTACATAGAATATTCTATAATGATACGATTTAAAAACATGAAAGCCGACATCAAAACACTATCAATTGACAAACCGTAACAGTTGGGGTTGGGATGGGGAGTTGCACATCCCAGTAGCGCCGAATGAGTTATGGGAAGAAATTGTTCAGGTATTATTTTTGCTATTCAGTAGTGCATCGCAAATTATAAAATTGTATTCCTAACTTAGCCAAACTTTCTAAATGTAGGTTAACCCGAAGCTTACTTGATTTCAAAGACATCTCTTTCATCAGTATGAAATTTATGAAAATATTTGTGCTAAGAACATTGCAATTGATTAAGGTGCAAGATCCAATAAGGTAACACAATCCACAATAAACTTAGACGAAGACGAAACCCTACATTCTGCTAATGGTGTGAGCTACAACATAGAAGGAACACATAATAACAATCTACCTGGCAATGTAGATGATGCGCCACCAAGTGTAAATGTAGATGAAAGTCATATGCTAGGTTCAAAATGATCTAGCGAAGAACCAAGCATACCAACTAGACGTTCCAAGAAGAAGATTGCCTTAGATAACTTGAATTACTTATTAGTTGAGTCGAACAAAAATACAATTGTCTTTAAATAAACTATTCAATGCATTGAGTCAGTGAGTCATACACCATGACAGATTGTGTGGCCAAGTTAGGTCAAGTAGAGAACCTGACAACACAAGATCTCTTAATTGTTTAGGACGTGCTTAAGGAAAACAAGGATAACAAAGCAATATTCATGACATGGGAAGTACTTGTAGAATGGATAGAATATGTTGTTAGCTCACACCCACGTTTTTGTGCTTCAAAAGTTTGGTTTTATGTGTTTCATTAGCATTTTGCAGTTTAGTAGTGCAATTTTACTTTATGTTAGTGTGTTGTGAACGTTGGCAGTTTGCTTTATGTATATTTGTTGTGGTCATTGCAATTTAATTTTATGTAACATTGCAATTTAATTTTAATTATATTTTATTTGTGTTGTAATATTGCAAGTTTGGAGCTAAATGCTATTTTCTTCATTAATGAGTTAGACATCTTTAATATGCAGTTATGGCGAACTATTTGCGTGGAGTTTACCCATATGTGTTATGTGGCATGGTAGACTTACAACTACAAGTTAATGATGTCATTGCTGAAATAACTCCATCTATTCTTCAAGAAAATTCTTCCTCAAATGATGAACTACCAATAAGACGGCCAATGTTCGATAAAACATACAATGGCATCGATATGTACTGGATGTGCTTGTTGTCCATCTGGAAAGAGCATACCAATGCTTCAGTTTACCTCCAAATGCCTTTTTAAGCCTGAGAGACCTACTAGTCAACCATGGACATTTGCGTTATACAAAAAATATACTCACAGCTGAGCAACTAAGTATATTTTTACGGGGAGTAGTGCATGCTCATAGTTACCGCCAAGGCGCCAATTATGTGAGTTCTTCCAGCATTCATTGGTTAGCAGGTATTTCAATATGGTTAAGCATGCTATTGTATCCTTTGCATATGAATTCATTACTTTACCCCAAACATATGCAAAATGTCATCCATTTATACATTCAAATGCATAATTTTACCATTACTTCATGAAAGCAGTTGGTACAATTGACGGCATACATATTCATGCGGTATTCAGTAACAACTTACATAATCGTTATCATAACAGTGAAGGTTTTATTTCACATAACATTATGGTTGCAGTGTCATTTGATCGACAGTTTGTGTATTTAGTCTTTGGGTGGGAAGATTTTATTGCAGATATGCATGTGCTTAGATGGGTTGTGGAGCAAGGTAAGTTTGGAGTGTCCCACAATCATTATTACTTGGTTGATTTTGGTTATACAAACACTGATAAGTTGATTGTACCATTTCGAGTATATCGATATCACCTGACTGATTATCGTGGAAGAACATCTAGAAGATATGCAGTTCAACAAGAGTTATTCAATTGCGCAATGTGGTAGAGAGAACTTTTGAAATTTGGAAGGAAAGTTTTCAAGTGTTAACGCACATGAGACAATTTTCTTTGAGTGCTCAAGTTGATTTGATTATTGCATGCATAATTTTACACAACTTTATAAGTCGATATCATGGACATGATATGTATTTCAATATGTCACAGACAGAAATAGAGCATGATAATGAGCGTGACAAAGTTGAAATGTTTGATGAGGATCCTAACTTGTATACGACAATAAGAGAAAAAATTCAAGAAGAAGCCATAAGTCATGACATCACAACAAATTTGTGAAATGCTTGAGTAAGCATTTATTTATTCATCAATAATATTTCAACTTTTAATACATTTTACAGTAATCTATTGATTTTTTCATTTCAGATAAATTGTCAAAGAAATTGATCATTATGAGGAAGTTACTCTCCAATGCAAGATATATCAATTTATCTATCATGTTGAAGTGTACTATCATATAGTAGTCTATCAGTGTCTAAAAAAATATTAGTCTATTATGATGTCATGTACTCTTTTCTCAACCAATCAAAACCACATGATATAAATTATTTAACTTTAAAAATTATAAAGTAGTATATTAAAAAATCAACGGATACGATTGTGTGGGCTTCGATGGGTTTTGCTTGAGTGGCTAAGATGAGAATTAGTCTTGGGGAATCACTATTCTTTAACATCACAAATGTAAACCATAAAGCTATAAACACGGCAATTGATAAGATGAAACAAAATAAATACCTTGCAAATGCTGTCGAATGAACACTACCAACAAAAGTAGCGAGAATGGAAGTATCTGCTCAGCCCATTTGGCAAGCTGCTGGATATCAAATCTCTGGTAAGATGATTCGCTGCCGTTTGCTCCCCCCAGGTTCGCGTCACCATCTAAGCTCTGCGTAGCGGGTGGCACAGATGGCAGCTGAGAGGCCGGTGATCCACCGAGCTCCCCAGCCCGATAGTCGTTCCCGCCATGTTCTCCCAACCCACTAGCATCAGACGCCGTAGGAATCTCCTCGACATGCAAACTATTCTCACCAGTGTTCCTTACTCTGGCAGATGGCGGAACCGGCCCCTGCCCAACAGCCCTAACGCCATCATGATCACCTGCGGCGATAATCCTTATCAATACCTCCCCATGACCGCCTCCACTCGAGCTTGAAGACAACTCCCGCCGGCCGGAAGCATGTTCCGCACCGGGTTCACCAGCAGGGAAGTTCTCGCTCTCCCAACGACTGCTCGATCGCGGTCGCAGTACTCCAGAGAACTCCAGAAGAGCAGCAAGCGGCGCCTGAATGAAGCTCGAAGTCGAAAGCTGCATCGTGTAACTCCTCGAGCTGCTGCCATTCCCAACGGAACCAGAAGCGACCGAGCTTCGATAAGGATCGAAATCTCCGCCGGATGTTTCCATGATTGAAATCCTTATCGTCCGTCAGAATTCCTCAAAAACTGATGGAACGGAAAAAGCCCAAACTTCCAGAAGAGAACGAAACTAGAGCAAATAATGGCGAAGACCGTAAGTGCTCGATTGAGAAAGAAAAATGCCTTTCGAAACCCTAGAAGAAGAAAACGCGGGGAATTGAAAGGCCCGACGCGGAGATCAGTTTCCTCCTGTCAGAAGACGGTGGCCGACCCTTCCTGCTTCTATCTTGATTATAGTAGAGAGAAAAGGAAAAGGGAAGAGTTATCCTCACTAAAATGCTGTGAAGGATTCCTCTTTTTTTTTTTTTTGGCGCGTCGAGAGGCTTGACCTCCTACCGCAGGTAATGCTGCCTTATCAATACATTTTTAACTGGTAACAGCCGGTCAAATTTATGTTTAATTACATGTTCGTGATATCGACGTATTCCTTTCAATTATAAGTTTTAGGTGTGACGTAGGGCTCACTCTAATTTGATTACATTTTTTTTGTTTTACAAGTTTTGTAAGGAAAGATGTTTTAAAATTAAAATAATATCATTTTTGCAAAAAAAAAATAATAATAATAATAAATTTAGCCTTCTTCTATAAATTTTTTATCGTGAAAAGTAATTCAAGAAATAATGAACTACAGAGATGGGTTCATTTTTAATTTTTAGAGGTCATATTCTTGATCATTGTATGCTTCATAAATATGAACCCTGAAAGGGTTTGTCCTGCGGGGGTTTTCGGGAACGCTGTCTCTGAAACAAATTTTAATTGTGATGATATTTTAGGATTGTCTTTACATTTTCTTTTTTTTTTTAAATTTGGTTTATCGTTCTCTACAAATAATACATCTACACAATGTGCTTAATCATGTTGGGCATTTGCCTAAAGACCATAACATTTTAGAACTTTTAGGGGGAGCAATTGCCTAAAAAATCTTATAATAAATGTCCCTTATTTTTGGACTTTTTATTGGAGAGCTTGACCTCGGATGTTGACCCTGATATTTTCAAAGATTTACGCTTATTGTTTTCCTTTTGTTTTTTCTTGAGTTGATGTACTTTTCGCCCTTGTTCTATCTTATTTACAATGGCTTCTATTGATTATTAATGAATATGTTGTGCGTGACTCTCAATTTCTAAAAAAAATAAAGGCAGAAGTTGAGGAATGCATCGGCCAATTGTGTGGTAGAAAAGTACCTTTCAAAAATAAATTATTGCGTGCGGAGTTCGAACTAGAGAACCGTCCAAATTTGCTGAGTATTTGTTATTAGAACACATAACATGTCTCACATACTGAGGAGCCTTAAACGGTAGCACCTATCTCCGCAAGTAATTATCCATTTTTCTAACGTTTGGCAACAACGACTGCTCTGTCCTCACACACTCATTGTCCATTACTTTTACAAATACATATATATATGTATTCAGCCTTTAGCTCTTAGTATCATGGAATGAATCAAATATGTCTCTATGCATCTCTTCTTCCGGTATAGGATTTCCCTCTAAATCTCTATTGCAGGTTATCTTTATTTGTAAATGCTCAGCAAATACTCAAGAATACTTGACAAATCAGTAAATAATCACAAAATCCTTGAGTATTCTCAGCAAATACTTAGTAAATACTCATCAAATTTGGATGGTTCTCCCGTCCTGACTCCGCACATAATAATTTCTCTTAAAACTTAAGAGTGATTTTATACTTGAAGATAAAATGTGAAATAAGTGTATATATACATGAGAAAATTAGAGTAGCTCTCGATCTACGGGCAGATAAGATTAGAGAGTGGTCTTGGATGGTTTGGTCATATAAAACATTGGTCTTTTGATGATTCTGTTATGAAAGTAGATGTATTAGACCAAGTATATATTAAAAAATGTAGAGGTTTATCAAAAAATTTGGTTTGAAATTATTAAAAATAAACTTTTATTATATTTAAATAAAAATTTAACTCTTAATAAAACACAATAGAAAAAAAAGTATTCATGTAGTCGGATATAAGGCTAGATGTTGCATTTTTTTTTTTACTGTAAGCGTAAAACAACAAAATAAAGCTAAATAAACAACAAGGATTAAAAAATGAAGCTAACTAATTACAATAATTACCATTTAACCTCTTATATGCCTTTTCAACTTAGAGCTCTAATTACATATTCTAATATTGATGCTCAATGTAGAAATATGAGCACATCAAAAAAAAAAAATTTTGGTCAGTGCATTTGCTAGTTGATTCCTAAACCCCCCACATTGGTCATCATGTTTGACTTCTTAATTCCCATATAAAATGACAATTGAAGGCCACATGTTAGAACCAACAATTGGTTTTCCTGCCCTTGAAAATTAGATTATTGACTTATATATGGTAGCAGGCTGATTCGTTAAAATCCTATACGAGGGAAAGCCTTAGACAATAATGTGGCCTTGTTGGGTGTAAAATTATATATTATATTTTGTATCCATATTATTCCATAGCATAGTTTTTATTCCTTCACATTTTATATAGTTTAGATTACTGTAATGTTTTATAAAGTTGATTATAAAATTGTTGTAGAGAAAATAACTTCGCTATTATTGTTCTAGAAAACAGCTATTCACAACAATTTTTTTTTTAAATAATGAGCAAGTAGCAGAAAAGTAGTGATCAAATGAAATTGTGATTGCGGCCTGAAAAACAAAGCAGACGGAAAGCTATCTCAAGCAGAGCATAAGTTTGAATTATCATTTGGTTATTCACATGATTAATGATGAATTATCATTTGGTTTCATTTGAGATAACTTTCTTTTTGCTTTACGTTCATACCACAATCATCATTTCTATTTGGCCACTGCTTTTTCGTATTTTCTTAAAAAATCTTGTATAAGAAAATTGTTTACTACATTAGCTTTAAAAGTTACTTTCTCTACAGTTATTTTACAAAGCAACAAGAAAACTGTCCAAAACGAAGTCTTAAGCTTCATTTAGAATGGCTTTCTTACTGATTTATAAAGTAGTTTGTTAGTACAAATTTTTTAATTTTTGTACTAAAAAATTGTTTTAAGAAGCAATAAAAAAAATCGTTCAAAACGAAACCTTAATTATCAAAGTTAGTATTGTTGAATGATCTTTGCTTTTGAGCTTAGTGATTTTAATCACTCACTCACTTAACATTATATGCATACATCTTTGATCTAAAATTTCCAAATATTTTATTAAAATTTGTGATTAATAAAGTTAATTTTTTGAAGGCATATCAAAGCTTAATAATCTATTTTATTTTACCAAGCTCATTATCCTATGTGAATATAAATAAAATTTTATAAATCATAAGAATTGGGTGAGTATCAGCAAATAGAAATGTTGTTG